AGCAGGCCAGGCAGCATCAGAGGTGCAGGAAAGTTGACGTTTCGGGTTGGGACCCTTCTTCTGATGCTGCCTGGCCAGCTGTGTTCCTCCAGCTCCACACTGTATTATATGTGACCGACTGACTGTGTTCAGCCCTATGGACTGAGAACGGACATGCCCTCGTCTTACTGTGTCATTACTCCTGACTGCAGGTTCTCTCCTTTGACCTGACTGAAGACCACTCCCCTTGGACATTGAGACATGACCATTTGATTGAAGCACGTGGTGTATATTTGCTGCACAAGCTGCTGGCACATGCTGTAGGTGTGAGGTTCATGTAGCACTGTGCCAAAAGCGACATAAAAACCGAAAGAACTGCGGATGCCGTAAATCAGGAACAAAAACAGATGTTGCTGGAAAAGCTCAGCAGGTCTGGCAGCATCTGTGAAGAAAAAAATCAGGGTTAACGTTTCGGGTCCGGTGACCCTTCCTCAGTTCTGAGGAAAGGTCACCAGACCCGAAACGTTAACTCTGATTTTTTTCTTCACAGATACTGCCAGACCTGCTGAGCTTCTAGCAACTTCTGTTTTTGTTCCATACAGCTTTGCAACGCAGAGTAACGCTAACAGCATGTGTTCAATTCCTGCACTGGCTGAGGTTACCATGGAAGACTCTCCTCCTCATCTCTCTCCTCGCCTGAGGCATGGTGACCCTCAGATTTAGACTACCACTAGACGTCTCTTTCTCTCTAACGAGAGAGCAGCCCTCTGGTCTGGGAAGACTATGGTGACTATACCTTTATTTTGAGGTTACAATGAGGTGAGTTACATTCCAAAAAAGAAATGTCCTTGAGCAATACCATGGAAGACAGAATAGAGATGTTGAAACAATATTTTCAGAGCAATGTCACCCATTTACACATAACTTGTACTCTACAAGTGGAGCTGTAATTATACTTGAAACAATGTGTGTATATTGTATGGTCCTCATTGTGATGTTTAGTTAAGAAGTTGCAACTTCAAGAAACCTGGTCTTGTACATTAAGATCACAGGTCTACTGCTTCTTGTGAGACGAGGGAGTAGTTTATATTGGTGGATCCTGAGGCTCCCAGACTCTTGGAAGACATCACCATGGAGTAGGTTGTAGGTTTGAGGAGAGTTCCTTGGAGAGGGATTTGAGGTAATGGTGCTGGGATGGGAAGAGAAGCCATCGAAGACGCAAGAATAGAATCACAGGTAAGAAAACCTGACCATTGAGTTGGGAAAAGGAGGGAAGTCAGGGGAGGATGGTACATGTGACCTTATATGAGATGGAGAGAGCTTGAGAAAGGACAGTGGAGCTTGATCACAGTCACAGAGGATGGAGTCATTAACTGTGCACGCTCTCAGCTCGAAACACATTCAACATGCGCCCATAGAAAAACAGATTTTTTGAAACTTGCCAGGGAAGAAGCAGGCACTTTATAACATTCAAAACTATTCTTGTGGAGTCAGGCTACTGCTTCAGGTTCCTCCCCATTTCCACTACCCAAACCAGGATGACTTCGCCCCAGCACCCCCACACACACTTCTTCTGAGAAACAATTCATCTCTTTTCACTCCAGAATCTTCAATGTGTACACCAGCATTAACAGGTAAAGAGGGAAAAGCTGTGACTCATTTGTGCTATAAATCTCCAAGGGTGAGCAAACACTCCTGTAATCTCACTGACTTGGATGGGGAATTCCTTCCTATTTTTGGTTGTGTTATCTTCTTGTCCTCCTCCTCCTTGCTCCTACGTTTGACTTATACACTTCTTGCAGCTGAACACACGTTGATGAGCTGCTCCCCAGAGGAGACTCACATGGTAGAAACTCAGTACAAGAATATTCCAGTGGGTGCAATCATCCAATTATGTGTTCCCTCTTCCCCCCAAGAGGTGGAAGTGGTCTTTGGTCATGGCCTCATTTGAACAGCAGCAGGATTGAAAGGTATTGGTGCAACATAAATAGGTGACTGAGAAACATTGCCTAGAATTTCCTTCTTGGGGTATACAGAATTTTCTTATAGTCAATAATTAGAAGCAAATGGAGACTGTAGAGATTTTCTACCTCCTCTCTGCTCCCATAGATTTACACTGTACCTTGGGGAATGTTTTAATCTTACTACAAATTAATTACAGAAGAGTAAATGTGAGAGAATGCAAACCTCGCCATCTTTGATGGAAGCTGCAGCCGACTGCTTTAGCACCTCAATTGGCTGATTGATGTATAAAGTTTCCCCTGCATTAACCATGTTGTTCAGAAATTCAACTGTGTACAGCTTTCCATAGGGATTGAAGGATCTGGGATCATTAACCAAGCACACCTACAAAAACAAACAAACAGCAATAATGCTTCTTCAGCAAAGGACAAACATTTTAATTATCCGAATCATTTAAATCATACGCAGCAATCATCTCAATTGTAACTAACCGCAAAATACCCTTTCAAATCAGTTTTTTTTATACCCAGCATTGAACTGCACCTTTGTTTTTGAGAGCAAAACTAACGAACTTCAAGGAATTTTATTCAATATTGAAAACCATCTGTGGTGAAGTGGTCGCTTTTTCCGTTACTGTGTTTTGCAGTAAGATTTACAGTGTACTGGAAACACACCATGGGATCATCTGACTAAATCCAAAAAATCATGCCAGATCCATTTTACTCCTCAATGACTTATTTTTAGAAAATGTGAAATTTTAAATGACTTTGCTTTTATCCAAATGCAACACGAAAAGATGCTAAGTGATGTACATGACACAAGAAGGAATGGAAGGATACAGTGCAAAACTGAATTAGGATGGGAGAATGCTGCTATAGAGCATAGGCATCAGCTTTGATCAATTCGGGCTAAATGGCCTGTTCTGGAGCTGTAAATTCTGTGTAATTCAGAACATTACTTCTGTTTGGTGAAGAACTGAGTTTAACTATCAATAAACTGGATAAATGTTGCTAAATTAAAACCATTAACAGAAAGCACAGTTTGTCTAGTCAACAAGTCCAAAAGGTCCCTGCTCCTGTACCTTGTCTTCCATGTTGAAAAATGGCTTCACGTGTTCGGTATAAAACTGAAGAGGTGTTAGTGGTCCAATCTTCTGGTAGTTCTTGTCTTTGTCTCGGAATTCCCAGGTAAAAGTTTCAGGAGGTGTGCCCAGGCAAATATTAACTATTCTGAAGACCTACAAAAGGTATCAAACAAGTGACCCATTAGCAAATAATGGAAATACTCACTTAGGAGGAATCACTAAAACAGGAAGAATTTTCTTTTTATTTCTGGGAAGGTAGTTCTGCATTAACAACGCATTATGTGCAAGGTCTCATCAGAAACAAAGCTGCTTAAAAAGTTTTCCCAAACATTGAAGGGATTCACAAAGGCTACCACTGAGTAATTTTCTGTGGATGCCCTGCTTCTTAATTTCTTTGATCATTTTCATTTTGTTGGGAATGCACATGCTGTTTCATCTCTGTCCCTGGGTTAAAATCCTGAGATTTCCTGTCTAACATCATCATAGAAACCCCATCGATCAGTTACTGCAGTGGTTCAAACAGAAAGCTCACCATCACTGTCTCCTGAAAACAAATGGGGAGCTAAATTCAGTTCAGTCAGCTTCACATCGCTTAAAAAAAAATTGAAATTGGAGCAAGAATCATACAAAATCACAACAATTCCTTAACTAGAAGACACGCACTGTGAAAAATAAAATATAAATGTCAATCTCACTAATCTATTTTGGGTGTTTATAGGTTACAATAGCTTGGAAGTGTTACCAATGACCTTGGGTTTCTCACAATAACTCTCTAGAGCAATATTAGGTGATAATTTGCACCATATGTGGATGTGTTAAAGTAATTTAAGTTTTATGATTCTGGCTCCTTAGCCTATCCAATGCTGGAAAAGGATCTGTGCTTAGCAGTATTGTGACACTGCATTGCATAGGTGGGCTCCTGAACAGAACAAAACGGTCTCCAAGCACGCATTACCATTCTCCTACCCCAGGACCAATACTTATTTCCAGACCCACACCATCCTCAACCAGCTATCAGCCTGTCTGGTACTGGTAAACTCTTACAGTTAGCATGCTTATGTTTCTGTTCTACCTGTGAAATCATGGAACAGAAACAAGTCCCTTGATTCCTCCTGCTTTATAGGTTATATATAGTCAAAGTCTCAGATATAAACAAGTATTTTATACATACATATCCCTATATCTTGTTCTATTACCCTAATGCGCTTTGTGTGGTATGATCTGCCTGCACTGCACACAAAACAAAACTTTTCACTATCCATTATACGTGCCAATAATAAATCAAATCAAGTATATAAAACATTCGATCAATACTGCCAGCATTTGCCTATTAGTGAAAGTGAGAGTGCAACATTTACCAGCAAATAAATTTGCTCTCTTTTTGCAAAGTGAGAATTGAAACAACACACATCAGAAGTAACAAGAACTGCAAAATTTAAATACTGTTCAAGACACAAAACATTCCTGAATTGGCATTCAAAGAATTTAAAATCCTCTCCCAATAATTTGGAGAACACATTACAGTTGGATAGTGCTCCCGTTCTCAATGCATTCTCTTGTAATGTTCAGTAAACCTTGGGCAGCTGCTTCAACAGCTTGATGCCTACTAAGCTCTAACAGTTAACCCACTGGTTTCTTTCACTAATCCAATTCAGCAGCAGACAAAATAGAAACAGAAGTATTTGTATCTTTTTAAAAATACATCACAGTCTGCAGAATCACGAGCATCTTAACCACCATCATTTTCACATAGATGAATCTGTCTTCAAAAGGAGTTATAAAGAGCAAGCAGGTGTTTAGATTTGGTCAAGCCTCTCAAGTTGTGATAAAATGTAAACTGAACTTTAAACACCATGGGATAGACTTTCAATATCCTTGCTGACAGGATGGTTTCTATAACGAATTACCAATTTTCATTTCCATTGGGATTAGCACTAGTTCAATGCTCAGACTGTAAATTGGAAAATCCATTCTATTTCCTGCTGTGGATTTACAGATGAATAGCCTAATGAAGAAATTATTTTTTTGTGTGTGTGCATTGTGCTACTTCCCTCAATTTAGAATTAGAATTGTCCCGTGTACTCAAGTATACGAATACATGAGTACCAGTGAAAAGTGTACAAAGTCGCCAATCTCTGGCGCCATCTTGTTACAAATCCAAAACTTTAAAAAAAAACAGCAGAAATAAAAGAAAGCCAAAAGGTAAGAAAAACGTCCAGATCTTAAAATCTAGGTCGTTAGAAGCAATTTAGAAACAAACCTATCGGCAAAGAGCGAAAAGGTCACTATCCCATCTGTACAATTTAACCTCGTACATCATTGATCCTCTGAGGTAAAGTAAACAAAAATGATCAACTTGAGAGAAAAAAAATGCAAACTTTTTCCCTGCCTCATTAACAATGTAGGACTCCAGGAGTCTTTAGAAGCTCAACGTGTTTCAAAATTCCAGTTTACTCACCGGCTACAACTGGAAACATTGTCTGACAAACTTCTTCTCTATTGAAAGGAAGAACTCACATTTACACAGCCACTTTTATGGCCTTGAGCTATCCCTAAACACTTTGCTTACAAAGATGTCTTCTTGAAGCATAGTCATTGATGTAACATAAGCAAATGTGGCAGCAAACACCAAGAACCTACAGACAATGATGACGTTTTATAGAGTTATTTTTCTGAGTTTGAAGTTTGTCGCGGAAAATAAAATAATAATTTGGGGCAATAGATAGAATCTATTCTAAACTTCCAATAAGCTCAGTTATTTCCCATAGCCTGTCCAGTACAGCCTGCGGGATTCTATTCACAAATGGAAAATGGATTCATGAGACAAGACGTTTTTAAACCAAATTTGGAACAAGGTGTATTATATAGGAGTAAAATGATAGTCTGTAGAATTTCTAATCTCCTGTGACATGTTCAATTATAGAAAAATGTTCTTTAACATTTCAAGACTGATAAAGAGCAGGCAGTTCTTCATTACATCTTTAACCTTTTAGCATAAGGAATTCTTGCCAAGGTTGCTTTATGGTATCAGTCTTCAAAACAGTCTACTGGTGATCCTGCAAGTCATAGTGAATTAAAGGTAATAAAAATAAGCCTCATGCAAGAAGTTGCAATTAACAATAATGATTTAATGCAACTTAACTACAGTCTTGGCATCTAACTTGAATACTTTATGTTGCAGATTTATATTCTCTGGGGGAGAGATTCTTGCGAATTCATAGAACTGCAATGGTATCATTTTCTTGCAGTTTAGTGGCACAGATTTTCTGAGCCCTACAATACTAAAAAGGCCATATATGATTTTGATTTACCAGAAAACTGCAGGAGCTTTGAAAGTGATGAAGAAAATATGCACCCATGACTTTGTGCAATTTATCGTACCGTTTTGGAGGCCTAAGTGTTTGGGTGTAGCTTTGAAAAGATCTACCACAAGTCGCAAACAACTTCCCCAGGGAAGTGTGTATGGAAAACACTGATATTGCTCATATGCTGCATCATTAAACTGATTTTACAGGTTGTTAAGTGAACACCGCCTTCACTGTTCTTGGATGTGTGATTTGTTTTTGGTACTTTGAACTAACAATGTCTACTGAAGATTTCTTTGAAGAGGCTCTGGTGCCTGAGAAAGAAAAATAGGTACAAAAGAGGATTAATTATATCAAAGATAATTTAATACAATAAAATAATATTGATGTAACTGCTCTATAGAAGTCCTTGGTGGGAAGGATTTTTCATTTGTCCAGTGTCATGTTATCATTGGTTATTGATACATTTTCCACAATTCTTAGTGTTTGAATGAATTTGTTGGAATAATAATGATCCTTAATAACTGTCACTCTTCTTTTCCATACTGAAACAGGGTAATATATTGAGGGGCAGCTTTTTAAATGGTGAATTGTTTTAATAATATGCAACGCCAACACAGAGAGGTTGGCCAAGTTCACCAGTTTCCAACTTTACTAAATGGATAAATTATAAGATTTGGAACTTTTAAACTGAAATCTCAATACCCATGGCCGCCCATTCCAAGATAATAATGATGGAGTCCAGCCATCTCAGGAAAGGGTGTTCATAAAACAAGGAAAGTGCCAAACTGTGCCTATTGCTTGGGCATCAGTGGAAACCCAAGTTTCTTGCTCCTTATTGGATTGAAATAAGTCCTTTTCGTTCCTCGGTCATAAAATCACAGCCATCACATTCTTCATTAAAAAGCACTTCAAACAAGGGGCTGTCCCACTGCAAGGGTTTACTCCTGTTTCTAGACTGTTTCCAAAAACTTAGACTTTAAGATTTGGATGTTTTTCTTATCTTTTGGCTTTCTTTTATTTCTGTTGTTTTTTTGTTAAATTCTGATGTTGTAACCAAGATGGCATTGCAGAACGGTGACTTTATACACTTTTCACTGTACTTGTGTATTCCAATACTTGAGTACGTGTGGCAATTCTAATTCTTCCTATGTGCCTCAAGCACAGCACAACTGAAATCATTTCTATTTCTATTAGATACAGATTCACACTTACTTTGCCACAGTGGTCAGCTGAAAACCGGGGCTGAATCTTATTCTCTTGCACCTGGCCGAGGACTTGTGCGTGCTCATCTCCAAGCCCTTCCTTTGCTGTAGGCTACACTTCACTCAGAGCATGACGATTTGACATTAATTTGTAGTCATCCAGTTATAATAATTTACCAACCTGACCCAATCAATCATTCCTTCGACCCAGTGAAGCCCAGTGAGAGAAATAAATTTTTGTCACTTGCAGTAAGGTAGCTGCTTACATTTCATCAAATTTGGGACTTCTGGCATGCAGGAATAAAAGCAGCAATGTCCTAATGACAATCATATCTTAGGAACAGTGTCAGCTTGCTTGAAGGAATGTACTCCTTGTTAAGGGAAACAGTATTAACTATCAAGCCAAATGTGGTGTTTTTGTACCAAATAGCACAGTTGTTGAATAAAGAATGCATTTGGTCTTAACGTAAACACCATTAGGTGAATACCAGCCAAGTTTGCATTTCTGACATTCAAGGGTACCTGACAATGTTTCTTTGAGTGAGTTTTTTTTAAAAAAAGACAAGTATTCTTCACAATGTTGTAATATAAAAGTGGAAGTTGCAAGATTTCGCTTGCTGGCCGTATCCAGTGACCTTTCCAA